AATATTTTGTTACATCTTCAATCAATGTTGTGTATGTTCTGTAGGTAGGCATTGGTCACAGAAGTCTGTACAGGTCTTACACACAGACTAGTCCTTGTCATAAGAATTTTGTAAAGAAGATCGCTCAATATGGTGATTTTGCTAAAAGTATTGCTTATGCAGCCTTGAAACATGAGGAAATTCTCTGATACTTAACTATTGGAATGGGCAAGTTGATTAAGAAGGCGATGACCATGCTGTGTAGTAAGGCAGTGAACTCCATTCAACAGTCACTTAACACGAATGACATCATTTCCTTTCCATGTGCCAGAGTGTTACAAAAGGCAAAAGAACCCTGCCCCATATTTCTTTTCTTCTTGCCAGTACCAAAACAAAGACTTTAAAGGTATATTTTGTTGATGGTGAACATTAATTGAGGCATTTCATTATAGACCACATAGAGTACAGTTTATCTCTGTTGTCATTTGTATGATATCAAAGTACTATTACATCATGTTTTTCAAAGATTGCTTTCAACTATACTTTATTCAGGACACTCTGGAGGAGCAGTTACTTTAAGTTGCAACATGAGAAAGTAATAAAAATTCCTTCAATTAGGTTTATAATAGACTCCACAAATTTTCAATTTGTACGAGTAAGCAATCTTTGTATTCTCTCATTACAAAACTTAATTACGATCATGATTCGTGTCTGAAGAATTGGCAGTCAACGTTACTAGGCCATACTCATAATCAAGTAATATGGAACCTAAATGTTACACATCTTTCATGTTTTTTAGCCTGATTGATACAGCATGGAGTATTCAAATGAGGTATGGCAATCTTTCTAAGTTCATATACAAAATTTGTGTTACTCATTAAGGTTTGCGATGTCAATATTATTGATTTAGAGATAGATTCTGATGCTGCAGATGAAACACCTATTAATGAAGCACTTGATGCCAATGAATGTGTACATGTAAGTATTTATAACTACATGTATATGTAGCTCACAATTTTTCTAATGATCATAGCATGCTGATAGTTCTGAAGTTGTAAATACCTCTGAAGATGTCGTGAGGACGGTCCTGATGATAATGTCGATATAGAAGAGACTGCTGTTTCACTCCTAATCCACCTGATTTTTCAGTTATATCACGTAATTCAGGTATATCTGTCAGCGCCATTAGCACAGTGATGTTCTGAAGGCTACATAGATCACTCACTCGATGTTACAGAGGCTGATGGAGAGGTAAAAAAAACAATATGGAAGGGTTTTAAGATGGAGACAACATTGATTTCAATGTAGCTCCAAGAAACAGGAGGATTGATAAACAAACACAGTCACTGCATTTCTTTCAGTGCTACACAGTCAGGAATCGTGTTGACATATCTCAAGCTTCTGAGGAGCTAACACCATCAACAAGCCTGTTTCAGAGCTACCAATTGGTGACTTGCTGCCATCTTTGTCCGATGACAGGGCTCTTTTAAGGAACATTTCTGTTTTACCATACTGGTATAAAATTTCGTTGGGTATTTAATTTCACTGATTTTGTGGGTGACTTCTCAACCACGAAAATTAATACCCCGGAAATGCTCACTGTGCATGCGCAGCATGTGAAAATCAGTGACTTAATAAAAGTGCACTTGCAAAAACGCAAAGT